ATGTCTGCACACACGCACACACACGCACACACACACACACATGCACACACGTGATATGCTAGTTATTGTTAGTTGCCGGCTGTTGTTATTATTGTTGTTGCTGTGGCATTGACATAAATTTTGGTTGGCCAAATGAAATGGCAGCAACGGAAGCAGACAACAAACGCGCAAAAACAAAGCAGCTACAACAACAACAACAACAACATAAACAATGCAAAGGGCAAACAATACACGCGACACACTACACAAAAGCAACACACAACACTCAAACACACACACACACACACACACACACACACACACACACACATGCACACGCAAGGCACATTAAAGCAATTTTCTTGCAATATTTTCCATTTATTTTCATTTGATTTCTTTTGCTCAGCTCTACAATTTGGTTACTGTTGTTGCTCGTGTGACACATTACATAAATACGAAATAAGCTACATAGTATTAAAGAGAAAATATGTACACACATACATGCATATACATGCGTCGAACAAGCGCAGGAAAATGGCCAAGAAAATGGCATTCAACGCCGCAACGAGTCAAATTATTTCACTTAATGCGAAAATCGAATTCAGCTGCCGGATGAAAAGTTAGGGAAACTTATTGCAAGAGAAAATGCTGAAAATCGACAGGAAAAACGGCAGGGCAGGGCAGGGCTGGGCAGGCTTCGGGCGAGTATGTAAAGGGGAAGCACCTGGCCGCTGACAGCTTGGGTAATAACAAGGAAAATGAGACAACTGTGGCATGTCGAAGATTGAATACACTTTATAGAGATTAGCTAATCTCTATAGCCAATCGATCGGGCATGTGAGAAGTCATATGATTTAATAAACCGATTTAATAGGATTTTTGAAGACTCTGGTCAAGATATATGGAGAAACATACAAGTTTTTCGTCTTTCGATGGTGAGCTATATGATATAGTGCTTCGATCCGGTCTGCAACAGAAAGTCGGCCTAAGCACTGAGCGCCACACGCATCTGGCTATATAGACACGACAGCTGTTGCCGATCAGGAATATATATACATATATGTATATATTAATATATTTATATATGTATGGCTTATGGGGCGGGAGATATCTTCTTCTATGTGTTACATGTTTGCTGACAAAATGATGACACCCTCTGGAAGGGCATGCAAATAAGGACGCCAATAACAACAATCGATAGCAATAATTACAGTGAAAACTCGTTTGCACGGACAGTTCCCTCAAGACGAGTGTCCGCCTAACAGGTATATCCGTTAGGAGAGATGTATTTTTTACTGTATTATTGTTATTATTATTAATATTATTATTATTAATATTATTATTATTATTATTATAATAATTATTATTATAATTATTATTATTATTATTATTATTATTATTATTATTATTATTATTATTATTATTATTATTATTATTATTATTATTATTATTATTATTATTATTATTATTATTATTATTATTAATATTATTATTATTACTATTATTATTATTATTATTATTATTATTATTATTATTATTATTATTATTATTATTATTATTATTATTATCATTATAATTATTATTATTATTATTATTATTATTATCATTATTATTATTATTATTAGTATTATTATTTTAAGATAGGATCATACAACAAATTGGGACTCAAATTCGAATTTGATTTATCTTGAATTCCCACCAACTTTTATAATAAAATAATTGTATATATCCTCTAGCCGATATTGGTTTAGTTCTTCAATTCTTAATCTGAGTTTATCTGAACCTTAAAAACAGAACAGTTTCCCCTTTTTACATTTTTTTCTAACGTTTTTTCCCAATAAGATTAAAACGAAATTTGCTTGTTTAACAAATTGATGTAAGCCAAAAAGCAAACGACGTATAAAATATGAACACACAAATATGTCACGGAACGTGTGGCACGTGATGCACAATTTTGGGGCTTCAATAAAAAACGAAAAATAATAAACAAAATGAAAAAAAGCAAATCACGACACAATTATTCATTTGGAGTAGCTTTATTTCAGCTGTTACAAAAATACATTTTATGCAGGCAAAAAACCAATTCCCTTTCTGTCACGTAACGTGCGAATACTTTTATACACTTGTACGAGGGCATGTTCATTTTGTCAAGCAGTATACAATACATAGAAGACATAGACGTCTACGAGCTGAGCTATAATCCTTCTCTTGAAGGGCATCAGCAGTCGGGTCGATATAGCTGGGTGCGTCTACTTTATCACGTGCTTCTCATAGGAACAATCGGAAAGAAGGTTTTGATATAGGGGCAAATTTGCTTTCCAGGCAAAATGTACGTTGTAGGGTATTATTAATTGGTATACCCTTGTATAGGGTGTCATAATCTAGTCATGAAATGTGTAACGGGGTAATGTGTAAGGGAAATGTTAGAAAGGGTATTAAACCTTCGGCGTGCCGTAGATTACCTTGCATTCTCTTTCCTTTTCATCCCTGTAACAAGCAGAAGGAAGCATATCCGACCCAAAAAGTATATATATGGCATTCCTGATCAGCATCAATAGCCAAGTTGATGATGTCCGTCTGTCTGTCCGTCTGTCCGTCTGTCTGTCCGTCCGTCTGTCTGTCCGTCTGTGCGTCCGTCCGTCTGTCTGTCCATATGTATGAACGCGTCGATCTCAGAACCTCGAAGAGCTAGAGACTAGAGAAACGGTAGTAAGAGCTCCAATAATCGATAACTTGCCTCCTTTCCAAACAATCGATTAAAATCGACGTAGAAATTCTGTTTCTTGGGCAGATCTCCTAGGTTTCAAGAGCTAGACTCACCACAAATGAGATGTTGCCTCTAGAATAGTATAGACAGATCTTCAGTATCTTTCATTTTCTAGCTTAGGGCTGAGCTGAGCTGCATAGAAGAAGGTTCCGAGCATCCCCTAGTCGGGCACTTCCGACTAGAGCGTTCTTGGTTGTAAAGCCTTTGAACCATTTCTCAGACAGCTTTCATGTTTTGTAATATAAAAAGCAAATGCAAAATACAAATTCATTTCATTTACATATTCATTTACATATTGCACAAATCAAAATTGGCTCCGAATCTCGGAATAAACCCGAGTCTTTGAGGTTGAGGAGTGGATTAAACATATATAATATTTTTGGGACAGCCTGCAAATGACATTAACACATTTTGCACCTGTGCTCTGTAGGCATTTGACTTTGACCTTCAGCTATTATGGCACACACACACGCACACAATCACGTGCTCAAGTGCGCGCTCACACGCACACACACGCGCGTGCATATATTTATGCAGATTAATTACAATTATTCGTCTTATGCAACATGGCGTATGCGTAATGAACCATTTCCCAACAGCTTGTGTACGTGTGTCTCTCCGTGTGTGTCTCCGTGTGTGTGTCTGTGTGTGTGTGTGTGTGTGTGTGTGTGTGTGTGTGTGTGTGTGTGTGTTGAGTTATGCCGGCTCCAGTTAGTCGCAGAGATGACTACGCACATTCGTTTTATTTGTGCTGCTGACTCTGGCAACGAATTGGAAATTTGTGCGATTTTGCGAGTTTTGGCGACGCCGACGGCGCCGTCTGCAAAATCTGGCTAAAAAGCCAACCAAGAGTCAGAGGCAAAGCAAGCAGAAGAAAAAAACTGACTAGCAATAGGCGGAAGTGACTGGCATTTTGGAGTCGTTGTCTCACTGCGACAGGGCAATGACTCCGGACGTGGCATGTTGAACCCGTCGCAGTCGCTGGCATTACGCATACGCCATGTTGTGCGGCTGCTCAAACTGGCCCCATTCAGAGCAAACAATTTCACCCAAAACAGACTCCTTCGGATCATACTTAACACAGCTTTTGCTGTCTCAATTGTTGCTGTGTGAGCTTCCAGGTGAGAGTATAAAAAGTTCTTTATGTTATTTAGTTATCGAAGCATTTGCGTAACAAAATTTACGGAGATCGCTGAGTTGGTTTTTCAGATAGATTTGTGCGCATGAAAAAGCAAAAGCATTTAGATGATTTAAAATATTTTAAGTAAAATGCAATAGTTGGGGCATATATATATATATATAACTGTCGGGTATTTGCCGGCCTTGTTTTGTGCTTCAAATGTTAAACTTTGCCTTTTCAACTATTTTCCCAGCCGTAGACAATTAAAATCTACCCATACTATCTTGAATTCCACGTCTCAACTTATATTTTATATAGACAGTTAAAGAAAAAAGTTGGAATCAACGATTTCCGCCCAACTTAGTCTAGTGTTCAGAGTTTTGAAATGTTCCCAAAGATCCCTGGATATGAATTGGAGCCCGAAACATCGCACATCGATTCTTTGACTCCCATTTCCACCAATGAGCAGCGGATTTTCCGAAAAGTGTGAAACAACTCTCAAATGAATTTCAACAAAGATCTTTGAAAATGAGTTTGAGGCTGAAACTGTCCCTTATAGTATCCAGTCCGCCTAGCTATACAAGAGTAAACAAAACGTTGGACTTGAAAAGGATTGAATCCATTTAAATATTATTCAGCTTGAAGCAAAGATTATGGTTCGCTTTCGTTAGTTTGATATAAAACCAAGGCGAACCAAAACCTCTGTGTTTAAGATAGTTCAATTTAAATTACATAACTATTAGGGGAATCCAGGCACAACATTGAGCCCGAACCATTTGCATAAATCCAAACATGGGTGAACAGATCAAATTTGACTTAAACGTATGTGAGAATATATAAAAAGTCCAGGCTTGAACCAAAGCCTGGTCGGATGTCTGTGCTAAAGCAGGTTCACGAACCAAAACGCAAAAGCAGCAAGCTGGTTCGAATCGAACCGTTTTAGCTTTAATAAACTCTTAATTGCAATATAAGCACATGTATTTGCAAATCAGAACTCCAATCTCTATGTAAAAACTGTGCAAAGCCAAAAATATGTTCGTGATTATGTTGATGATATTTCATAATTGTGTTGAATGCACGCGGGCTGAGTAGAAGCTGAAGCTGAAGCTGAAGCCGGAAGAAGAAGTTAAAAAAAAAGCAAAGAAAAACGCATTGGATATGCTTTGGAAAAACATTTATTTAAATTGTTGCGAACCAAAGAGACGGAAAAAGAAAAATGGAAAAGAAAAGTCGAACAAAAGCCAACGAAGGGAGAAACTTGAAACCAAAAAAAACAAAATGTACTCTAGATACATGTATAACAGCTGGCTAATTGGCAGGTGTCATTGGTTTTTTTTCTTGTTTGGATATCTAATATATGTATTTGTGCTTTTGGGTACTTCTCATAGCCATAGTCCTTGTACTTGTCCCTGTCCCTGTCCCTGTCCTTGTCGCGCTCCTTGTCCTTCTTCTTGTTGGCTTGCGGCGTGCTCTTGCGCGGCCGATTCATCAGCGGATCGTCCATGGTGCGTGATGCCTGCTGCCGCACCTGGGCCGGCGGTCCGGGTGGTTTCTTTTTCTTCTTCTTTTCCGGCTGCTGTTGCAGCTGCAGCATTGCCGGCTGTTGCAGCTGCAACTGCTGCTGCAGCTGCTGTTGCTGCAACTGTTGCTGCTCCCGGCGCTCCAGAAAGGCCGCATTAGCCGAGGCAACTGTCGCTATGCGCTGCTGCTGCTCCAAATGCTCCAGCTGCTGCTTCTTCTTGTGGAACTGCACCAGATGCGAGCTGCGCCGCCGCAGCGCCACGCCATAGGGCCCAAAGCCATTGGATGCGCCGCCAACGCCAAACAATTTGCGTATGCGCCGCTTATTGATGAATCCGCCAAAGTTGACAGCGAGTCCCAAACCACCACCACCACCACCACCACCACCAGCAGCTGCTGATGCACCACCACCAAAAGCGACGCCCCCAAAGGGCAGCGGGCAGGGACTGTGCGCGGATGAGCTGCCCGCCTCGCTGCCGCCGGCAACCATTTGACTAAAGTTGCTGTCAAGATCACAGCTGGCGCTGCCGTTAAAGGTGCCGCCACCGATGGTGCCGGCCGAGTCGGCGCCACACGGAAACAGATATGTATTCAGCGTGCTCAGCGTTGACGTCGTGCCCGGCCGACTGATGGCGCCCAGGCTCAAGCCATTGCTGCTGCTCTGATTGCTGTCGGGCAGCAATTGCAATGTCAACGGCAGCGGCAACATGATCGCCGTGGAGCCGCTAATGTTGCCGCTGCCGCTGCCGGTGCCGGTGCCGGTGGTGCTGTTGCTATCATAGCTGTGCGGATTCACATAGATGTGATTGTTGTTGCTGCTGCTCTGTGTTATTGTTGCAGCCGTCTGATTGCAGCTGCTGCTGCTGCTGCTGTTGATGTTGCCAGTGGCGGCAATGCCGCTGACCACAAGGCTGCTGCTGTTGCTGCTCTCGCTGTTGTTGTGATTGTTGTTGCTGGGCTGGTGGTGGTGCTGCTGCTGTTGCTGCTGCTGGTTGCTGTTGTTGTTGTTGTTCTTTTTGTTCTGGCTGCTGCTGCTCAGCGGCAGGCTAATGTTGTTGTTATTGTTGTTGTTGTTGTTGCTGCTGCTGCTGCTTCTGCTGCGCTCTGGCGCTGTAGCGGGCCGCGGCTGTGCTGCAGCTGTTGTCGCTGTTGCAATGTCAACAAATTGACGACTGTTGCTGCTGCTTGCTGTTGCTGTTGGTCGCGGCTGTTGCTCCCGCTCGCGCTCATTGCCATTGCTGTTGCTGTTGCTGCTGTTGTTATTGTTGTTGCTGCTGCTGCTATTTGTTGCACTCATTGTTGAGCGTTTGTTGAAACCAATTGATGCAAAATTTTGAACTTCTTTTGTTTATAAATATTGATATTGAGCGTGTTTTTCTCGCGGTGTACAAATTGCTTTTCAAAACAAGTAAAAGCAATATCTAGTCTTTTTTAAGTGCTTCCAAAATGCTTAAAAAGTGCTTAAATATTTTTTTGTTATTCTATTTTTTTTTTTATATTTAAAAGTTGACAATGTTTTTTTTTTTATAATTATAAGTTGACAATAAATTCTTCGTTTGTTACTTTGTGTGCTATTTTTTAATTAAATTTAACTTTAAATATTTACTTTTTATGTAAAGTTTTTTTATGTTTTATTGTTTTTTTTTTTTATATTGTTAAGTTCGTCTTGAAATTTTCTTAATCTCTTACTTTTTAAGTTTATAAATTTAAATAATTTTTTAATATTATATTTTCATTTATTTTTTAATTGTTTTTCTTAGTTTGTTTTATTTGAAAATTTTTTATTCAATTTTGTTTTACATATTATGTATATTTTTTTAAGTGCATATTGTTTATCAAATTGTTGTATCATACCGTTAATTTATATATTTAACAAAAAAGTAATTTTTTAGTAATTTATTTGAATTATAAATTTGTAAATCAATTTTGTTTTAAATATTTTGCTTCTAATTTTTTTAAGTGCACATTTGTTATTAAATTGTTTTCATTTTTTTTAAAATATATATATATATAGAGAAGGTGATTTTTATTAATTTGTTTGATTTATAAATTTTTTGTTTTGAGATATTTCCTTTAAACGATTTGCTAATTTTATTTTAAGGAACGATTTTAAAATTTTATTAAGTTTTAAAAATTTTCTCATTTAGTATTTAATTTTTGTTTTAAATATTTTACATCTTCCGAGCTTGTAATTTATTTTTTTCATTTTGAACACTTTAAAAATCTTTTGTAAAATAGGTTGTATTATAATTTTAGCTTTGAAGGTTTTAATTTTTATTAAATTTGATATTTTTTTCTTTATATCAAAATGTTGATAAATGTTTTTATAATTTATTTATATCAGGCTCCATTTAATTTTAAATGCCACTCACAAAATTATGCATTAATAGTTATATAATTAAATTTTATTAAAAATGATTTTTTTATTTTGAAGCAGACTTTTTGTCCATAAATATTGTTTGAAGCTTTGCTGGCACACACATGAGTTTTCATGCATATTTCACTGCATTTTTCACATATTGCACACTTGAAGAAAGCAAAAAAAAGAAGAATTTCGTTTGGTGGTAGGCCACTTGTTTATCACAGTGTTGGGTAGTGCATTGATAAGGCTTGCCACACACACGCACAAATACACAAGCACTTGCTAGTTGCTTAGAAAAAATTGCCAAAAAAAAAAGAAGCGAGAAGAAGACTGAACGTAACGCGGATCGCACGGCACTATTCGTTGTTCGTTGTTCGTTTAGCTGCCACACTCGCTTGCCACACGGCCGCTGCTACGGCCACACTACTGTTATCAGTCAGAGCCACGTGCTTAACGCGCCGCGTGCCACAATTGTATGAACTCTGCGGCGCGTTGTTGACAATGCCACAGCGCCAACAGTCGCCATCGCCATCGCAGTCGCAGCCGCAGCAGCAGCAGCAGCAACGAAGTCGCTGGCTAGTGAGTGTGTGAGTGAGTGTGTGAGTGAGAGAGAGAGAGAGAGAGGGAGAGCTAGTGAGCGAGAGCGAGCGAGAGGCAGGCACACGCACACGCACGAAGTCGTCGCGCTGTTAACTGGGCCGACGAGTTGGCTAACTCGAACTGGATGTCGAGTCCTGAGACTGGGGCCAGACTCGCGCTGTCTGCTGGCGTTGCGACTTCTTCAAAAAATGCCAAACAATTGGCCAGAAATCTAAAGCCAAAAGCCAGCGCAGAAAAACCACTTGAAGCACACACACACACATGACACACACACTCGCTTGATTGTAGTTGTTGCCGTGTTCGGGCTCAATTTCGGGAGTGTTTCGGTTCAGTTGGGTTCACTTCATGGCTAACTTAACTAAATGCCCCGCTGCAGCAACAACACACACACACACACACACACACACACACGACTTTAACTCAACTCGGCTACTCATCGGCTGGCAACTCGTGAACTCTGACAAAACTGTAACTGTAACTAATGTATTATTGTTGCTGCTTTTGTTGTTGTTGTTGTTGCTAGTTTATTGTGTTGTTGTTGTGAATGCCAGCCGAGGCGGCAACATTTCAATTCGGATTTAGCGAGAATCGTGCGGCTGTTCCGCCTGCTTTTCATAGCTCTTGTCCTCGTCCACATCCACATTCACATCCACGTTCACGTTCTCGTCCTCGTCCACAACGTGCGCGTCACAGCAGTTGCTCTTTTTTTTTTTGCTTTTCATTTCGTAACAGTTTTTGCTTTAAATGTATGTGTGTGCGATTAATACATTTGTATGCGTGTGTGTGTGTGTGTGAGCAGCAGCTGCTGCTGCCATAAAGCAGTCGCTTACACGACTGCAACTGCTGCTGCTGCTGCTGCTGCTGCTGCAGGTCACATCAACAACATCTGCAACATTGTCAACAACAATCGCTGCTGCTGCTGCTGCTGCTGCTGTTGACAGTGAGACGTGACATGGCCAGCTTTAACCCCATTATGCATAGAAAAGAAAGCCATAACCAAATAACTCGGCCATATTGCAAGTCTTAAACGAAAAGAATTGGCAAACGCCTTTCTCTATAATTTATATATACAAAACAGTTGATCCGACAAACTGGCTGACTTATTAAAGAATTGAGACGGAAGGGAGCATTAAGACAGGAGTTCAACCTTCAAACGGGGCTAAATGCTCGCATGAAAAGCTTCAAGACATAAAGTGACCATAAAAGTCTGATTTACGCATGTGACTAACAAGCGAGCAGTCGCCGGTTCAAATTTAATAGCACTCTTTATGGCCCCGTAGAGGGTATTAACGCACCGAAGGAGACATCTCCGAGCCCATAAAGTATATATATATTCTAGATCCACATCAACAGCCGAGTTGTTAAAGCCATGTCCGTGTCTTAGCTGAGAAAATTAGCTGTGAAATGGCCGGACGGGCAAATAAAACACCTTCATCGTGTCGTTGATGCTATTCGAAAATTGTGTTTTCTAATTAGGCTTTAAGCATTTAATTTTCATAATTTTAAGTCATAAATAATTAGGACGACACTCGTTTCTGTCGACCACTAATAAATAAAAAAATAAAAAAAATTAATAAATAAATAAATGTCCGTCTGTCTGTTTCGATTCGAACTTGCCTCTCATTTTGAAGGCTATCTCGAGACTTTGCTTAGCTCCGTCTTTCTGTTGCAGGCAGTACATACTATACTATATATCAGAACCAACCAGATCGGCGAGCTTTATCATATGGCTGCCATGGGAACGATCCTTGGAAAAGTGTCAATCATACAAAAACCAACTTTTCGATCAATCGTTCCTTTGGTAGTAAAATGTTATAGTTGATTTTTGAATGCACAACTTGTTTGCAAAACTTGGCATTTATCACTATCACCATGATTCCAATCAACATCGGACTACTATATCATAAAGCTATCATTAGAACGATCGGTCGAAAATCAAGATCTTTTCCATTATCGAGATATGTTGATCAACCTTGACATTTACTATTTTTACAATGCGTCTAGATGTACTATATGTGCCAAGTCTTGTCGACAAATGAGTATTTGCATGGCAAAATTTGCTGCACAAATATCTGCAAAGCCGCAAGGCAAATGTCTAGAAGGGTATTTAATCTTCGGTGTGCCGCAGATATCCTTACTTCCTGTTAATTTTTAAATGTGTTTTTTCGTTTACTTTCTTCGTTTCATTTTTTAAAGGGTATAATGTATTCGTGCAAATGTATGTAACAGGCAGAAGGAAGCATCTCCGACCCCATAAAGTATATATATTCTTGATCAGCATAAATAGCCGAGTCGATTAAGTCTGTCTGTCCGTCCGTCCGTCTGTCCGTCTGTCCGTATGTATGATCGCAAGGATCTCAGAACCTATAAGAGCTAGAGACTTGAAATAGCTATAGGTCGTCCTAGTCCCCGCGCAGATCGAGTTTGTTTTTGATATGCGATAACTTGCCCCGTTTTCAAGTAATCGATAAAAATCGATCAAAATATCGAAATTCTATTTTTGGGGAAATTTCGGTAAATAATATGAGCTAGAGTCACCAAACTTGACATGTGGCTTCTAGAATAGTATATATATAAATCAAGTGTCTTTCATTTTATACCTATCGCCTGTTGGAAGAAGAGGGTTCAGGGTATCCCCTAGTCGGGAGCCCCCGACTAGAACCTCTTACTTGTTTGAGTTAATGCTGTGCTTCGTTTGATAGTTCGGACCAACTATTTGTCCCTAGATTCGATTCGTTTTATCTGCGCATACCTTTGTTTGTCGTATATATATTTTGTAAATTTTTTCGGCAGCAATTGATTTCCTTTTAATTATTGTCCGCTATGCCGCAAATATTGAACGCCGCACGTATTTTTATGTACGAGACCCCTCCAAATTGAAACTCTACCCAAAAGTTACTTTGAGCAACTGTGTTTTTTAAAATGATTCAATTCGCAGTAAAAGTAAATTTTAATTCCGTGCTTGAGCCCGACTGGCAGCCTTGAATCTCACATTAAGTGCAGCTCCAATATTAACACAAATAAATAAACATAAATATTTTAAATAAGTTAATCTAAACACATTTGAAGATGACATGGGAGATGTGTGGGCCAACGCGTCGCATGCGCAATCTGATGAATTGATGTGACGCATACGCAACGTGGGCCGCAGCAAAAGTTGGGCAAATGGCGGGAAGTGCGCGGCAGAGCGAGATGGTGGCACGAAACGTGTTTGGATCATATGCAAAAAGGCAAATAATATCTGTTTGTGCTTTCTGGCTTGCCTGCCAAGCAAATTGCCGGGGTCATAGCAAAGAGTTTTTCCATATATATACATATATATTTTTTTTTTTTGT